CTTCGTCATCCTGTCATCTGGGGCCAGAGCTGCTACTGGCTCGGCAAACTGGTGCTGGGGCTGCTGGAATGGCTGCCCCTGCCTGGGCTGGTAGGGCTGCTGCTGTGGGTCTGGCCCCTGGCGAGCCTGGAAGGGCTGCCTCTGCTGAAAACCACCTGCCGGTGCTGGGAAACCAGGTGGTTTAGTGGTGTTGCTGCTCTAGGCGAAGTTGGGATGCTGGCGCCACCCCTCATTATATGTGCTGCTGTATGGATCGAGGCGCCTCGCATTGGCGATGAAGGCCAACTGCTCCTGGGGTGTGGTAGACTCCCTCATAGCCTGGCAGTCCTCCATTAGGTGACTGGAGCTCTCACACCACTGACACTGAGCAACTGGAGGTGTAGCCAAACCTCTGCCCGGAATCAGACTGTTGGGCTGCTTCAATGTCTGCACTAGCTCAGCTACCTGCTGCTCGAGCCCGGATCTGGTCTCCATGGCGTGCACACCACGGTCCCGGGACTGTCTGCCTCGGCTACCCTGTCCCCAGGAATGATCTCTGGCAGCCAATGTATTAATCATCTGGTTCAGCTCGGGTGGAGTCTTAGTGAGAACATCCCCTCCTGGGCATAAAGACTCAATCACCCTCTGGCTATCTGGAGAGAGGGCACTGTAGAAGTTCCCCACTGTGAATGCATCACTGAAGCCATGGTGGGGACACTGCCAGAAATATCCCATGTACCGCTCCCATGCATCACGAAGTGACTCATCTGGCTCCTGGCGGAAGTGAGTGATCTCCCGCTGAATCTCTGTAGTCTTCGATGCCGGATAGTACCTGTGCACGAACTTGTCAGCCAGATCGTCCCAAGAGGTGATGGACAATGGGGGCTGGGTCTCCAACCACCTCTTAGCATTCCCCGCCAGAGAATGGGGGAAGAGATGAAGGCGGATCGCATCATCCGGGACACCATTCAGCTTGAACCCGTTTGTCAGCTGCAGAAAACGGGAAAGATGCACCCTGGCCTCCTCATTCTTCAAGCCATGGAACTGGATAGAAGATGTAATGAGCTGAATCCAGCATGGCTTGATCTCGAAGTTGTTTGCTGGGATAGGCGGGTAGAGGATGACCGGGCGGATGTCAGCAATCCGCGGAGTGTAGTAGTACTCCAATGTGGGACCCGGCTGCGGTGGATGATGAACTCCATGATCCTGGGGTATGGGGTTGTTCCCCAGGACCTGATTCACTGGGGGAACCTGCTGTGGATTCCCCTGGTGCTGGTTGTAGTCTCCGTCCATCCCATGCTCTTCTTCAGAATCGCTGCTCAGGTGGCCGTCTATGCGCTCTTCCGTAGCTAGTCTAGCTCGCTGTTGTCTCCTGAGCAGGCGACAGGTGCGGTCAATCTCTGGATTCAACGGCAGTAAACCTCCCGACTGGCTACGGGTCATGCACTACCTGCACACACTCAAGCAACAAACCCGTGAAGGCACAAGTGAGACAAAGAAAACAAAGCAAAAAGAAAAGCTAAATTAACAGAAATCACTTTTCGTCAACAACCTAGCCGTCCCCGGCAACGGCGCCAAAAACTTGACTCGACTCTACTGTCACTCCAGGAATTGGCAAAGTGAAACCACTTCCTAAAGCGTAGTATAGCGGGTTTGGGTTTAATTATCAACCCGGGTCCTAGATCTGATGACTACTCAGTGAATTCGTGTTATCTAGCAATGAAACTGGAATGCAAGTCTAAACTATCAAACTAACAAAGCAAGTAAACTGTTGTATTCAGGTTAAGAGAGGTCACCCGGATATGGTTCCCCCTAGACTGCAGTTAAGCCGGATTGTAATTACCAAGTTCAGTTTCTATGACAGTTATACTGCGGAAGGTTCTTAAACAGCCTGAAGTCTCGACTAAAGGTCTTCAGACCCTCTCAATCTGACTCTCTAGCGGGTGACTAACCTCCACCGGAGTCGACAGATTGAGGCCCTAAGAACAAAACCTCCACTACCGGAGTAAATCCGGTACAGAATAGTGAGTTGGCTCCTCGACTAAAGTCACCAACTCCCTACCTTCAATCAAGGATACTCTATTAACCTAGGCAGATATTCTCATTCTAGGTTAAAGCAGAAACAACAGGAATTTGATCAGGATTCAAGTCATTCAATCATTAAAACCTCAATCGAATATAATCAATCATAGAATCAGTACTTGGGTTCATACAATCAAAGCCTAACATACAAATCTAGGGTTCTCCATACCCAGATGAATGGGAGAACTACTCCATAGAGAAGAAAGCAAAAGCAGAATCAGACACGGAATTCATACTGCGAAGGATGGATTCCTGCTTCTGGACGTTGATTGGCACTTCTCCAAGCTCAAGCTGGCCTCCAATGGTGTTGAAGATCAATCTAGGGCACTTGGAGACTCTTGTTCGTCGCTTTCTCTCTCTAGAAATCGCTCTCTTTCTCAAAAACCCGAATCCCCATGACTTGTGGCTGAAAATCTGCTTAAAAGCATTAGTGGCCAAAGCACGGTTGAGAGCACGGCCGTGCTTTGCCTGAGCCCGCCCGTGCCTCGGCCAGGCTTAATTACACGGCTAGCAGTTGGGAGAATCACGGCCGTGCTTCGCGTTGGACACGGCCGTGCTTTGGTGGAACACGGCCGTGCTTTGGTGCCCGTGTTTGCAACTGAAATTGCCAAACCGAATTTGCTCTCGGCATAAAAAGCACGGCCAGCAGTACACGGCCGTGTAATGCCTTGGGTCTGCCCGTGTTTTGGCTCCAGCTCACCGAAATGACTTCCGAATGCCCCGAAACTCGCGCTTAGCCTTCCCTTTGACACCTGGGACCTGAAACATGACAAAATAGCACAACCCGGCATAAAATAGGCCACAACACACGACTATGCCCCTCAAACGGATAAGAACTAGGGGCGCAAACATGTGCAATTACATCGTTATCAGTAAGCTCAAAATGTTTTAACCATTCAACCTTTTGGGACATATCATATAGGCATAAAACACGTGAATCATGGTTTTAGACATCAACACACGAACAACAGCAACTACGACCCGGAAAACCACCACAGATGACATTCCAGTGCAGCAAAATCAGGTAAAGGAAGAGTTTCCCTTCTATTCACAGACCAGTATAGACTCGACTCAACCATTCATTCAAAACAGTCACCTCATACATAGAATTTAAGACATAAGAATCAAGACTTAGCAATCTAGATCCTTACTGGGGTATATAATACGAAACTTGAATCACTCACTTTCGACCAATGGGGTCAGGTCAAAATTTGATGCAATATGTGTGCATACTCATACTCTCCATCCCTAAAGTCCCTTCACCATGAAGGTAAGCTCTAAATGCTAGAGTTCACATATCAGGTGTCACCAATAACTTGTCCGAAGGTCTTAGACACGGGGTCGGATGACTAGCTGGGGCCTTGGAATGGGGAAAAGGCCTTTTAGGTGTGGAAAATTCATGACACAAGGTTTCATAGTTCCAAAGCTAAACACAACGACATCTATTTGACCCAATTACTTTCCTTCTGCTATTCTGCATTAGTCAAGTTCTTTATAGCTCAAGAGTGAAGGAGGTAACAACATGTAAGTATTTCTAAGCTAGTCTGGCAAGAAACACTATTTTATGAGAATGATTAAGATTTTTGTGGTGGCTCTCTTTTTTACTTTCATTTGTTTTCTTTTTTTAGAGAGCCATCACTTCTGCACATTCTTTTATCCTTGCAAGCACACGCTCAATTTTTAAGAACCACCTCCGACCCTCATCTTATTTCCCGCAGAAAATATGCAAAAACCACTTTGTGGAACCTCAAAGAGATGCGAAATGGTGATTTTTCATTATAGACAGAAAGAAAGAAAGTTGCACGGCTTAAAGGGACTGACTAGGGGGCAAGACACCAGGACAATCAATTTGGTTGTGGGTTAATCCTATGACTCCATCATCCTAATTAGTGACAAAGTGAATGCTACACATCATTGAAGAGGGATCTATCGCACAAGAAAGAAACGAGCAGACTCAAATCTCACACGGCTACTTATCTGCTCTATCTCTCATTTTGATTCCCTGAACTAGATGCATAAACGATTGCATAAAATGAGTGATTAATCCAAGTCACAGTTGATAAGCAAACAGTTGAAAAAATGAACCCCTACACAACTCTAATGCACGTCTTAGTCATCATTATCGGTTGTCATGCATCAATGCTAAAAACCAATCGATTCAACACATACACCATAGTGCCAATATGATCATGCAAACATCTGTACTTGGAGCCCTCAAATCGAAGATTTGGACAGCGGACTAGACTCCAAGCACACAAACAAATACAAACATTCACAAGCAAACACAATGGAACATCCCCCCACACTTAAGCACGATATTGTCCTCAATGGAGAGAAGGATAAGGAGGGTAGAACAAAGTTACCATATCAAGTGTGAATGATGGTAAACGGGGCAGGTGGTGCATTCCACGTGGAGAGAGAGTAGTCGAAATACAAACACCACAAAATCTCACAAAGGTTGAGTTGTTGACTCTAAAATCAAAGCACAAAAATAACTCAATCGAAGGGAAATAGGGAAAGAATGCAAATCAACTGACTCATTCTAACTACAACATCCCGATTGATGACCAAGTATAACCGCTGATAGGGTGTAACATAGGGCAAGCAAGCAGTAAGAATATATCGTACCACGACGATCTAGGCTTACCCTACTTTAGGTTTAGGGTTCGTTATCTAGCCAACCTAGGATAGTGATTAATACAACTAAACTAACTAACCTAGACTAACCACTAATCCTAGCTATTTACAAGGAAGGGAGCTCCCTTGGATTAAATCCCCTTATTTGCGACCTTTGGATCGATGTTGAGTATCCTCCTAGTTCGATCGACCCACTATCCTACCATTAGGACATGACTTCCCTCGAGAGGGACCCGGAACGGTGAAGTGGTGGATGGGTAGGAGCACTATTCAACCTAGGACACCCCTATATCGTAGGAGATCGATGAAATCGACTCCCTCGGGGATTAGCCAGACGATATAGGGTGAGAAGTTGTTTCCCTCCTAGGTCGAAAGCTCGATTGACTCAATTACTCTACCGTTAGGAGACGGACTCCCTCGGGAATGACCCGGAACGGCGAATCCATGAATGTGGTAGGCTCTATTCAAGCTAGGGAAACCCTATATCGTAGGAGATTGATGGAATCGACTCGCTCGGGGATTTCCTGGACGATATGGGGTGAGGAATTACCCGAAGACGCCAATAATGGGCTCTAAGGGGATTCTCTCCCTCCTAGGTCAAAAGCTCAATACATGAAAATGGAAACCCAACTCATGTCATTCATGAAAACATCCATCAATTAAGAAAAATCATCAATCAACCATGGAATGTGTCACATACATCAACATTAAATCCAAATCTAGACCTAGGGTTCTTAAACCAAGAGAAGAGAGAAATTACAAATTGGAGCCCAATATCTTCTTCTTCTGAGCTTGAATCCTTATCTTCAAGATCAACCCAAGCCTCCAATTAAGGTCCAAGATCACTCAAACACACTCTCTGTCACACTAGAACTCCCCTTTGGTGTTTTGGGTTGAAACCCTAGAGAGAGTATCGAATCCCTCTCCAAAAACCAGTTCCCCCTTTCTTCCTTCTGCTGCTTCCTTTTACACCCAAATCGAAGGTTGTTCACGGTCTGAGTTCACGACCATGAACTCAAAGCCTGGACCATGAACTCGAACAAATTCACGTCGTTTCACTTCACGGTCAGTAACCTCTAAAATGGCTATGGAACCCGACTATTCCACGGTCACGGTGCAATTGCCACGGTGACTTTGTGCATTTTTTCACATTTTTGCGCTTTTCGACCTCCAATCGACCCAAAACTTTTTCTCGACCTTCCTGTGCGTACTAAGACCTGAAATGTATCAAATCAAACACATTACAGCGTAAAATAGGTCGAGGGACGGTGATCTACTAAGAAAAACGAACAAGAAATGAGGGGTAAAATGTTTGCATTTGGATCCGATCACAAATGGTTGGGTTGCCTCCCAACAATCGCTTCTTTCACATCGTGAGCCGGAAGGTGGCTCCTAAGTTTTGTTCCACCCCATAAACTCCTTGAAGTTGAGGTTCTCGTCGATAAGATGATGTCTCAAGTCACGAGCATGTGGCGTATCAGGTGATGTAGGCTCGTGCACTTGATTTAGATGAAGTCTCCACCCTCGAGACCGCTTCTTCTCTTGTCTCATTTCCAAACCATGTAGGAAAACATCGATTGACCACTACCGCATCCACCAAGAGGGATGGATGTTGATGTGGCCTTGTTCTGGCAAAGAGACACTACAAATGGGTCCTTGCCTAGCATCTCCTCGAAGTTTGGTGGAGAAATTATATGCAACTGATGGCCGGTGCAAGCATCTTCCACCTCAACTTCATCCACCGCCTGGACGCCAATGCATCTACAACCACCCTTCCTTATTCTGAGTATGGTCTCTCCCCTAGATCAAGAACCTCCTCATCATGGCTTGCTTCATCATCCTCCACGACTTCTTCCCTCACCCTTTGTCGCTCTTCTTCTTCCAACACAAATTGGAGAGCAAGTCTTCAAGCAATTTCTTCAATGAGATTATCTTGCATCTCCTTGCTCGGACTCAGCATGTCAGAGCAGAAATGGGGAAAGCTGTGATGTGCCACCAGAGAACATTCCTGACTATGATTATCACGGGAGTTCTGCGTGACAACTTCTGTATGCTCCTCAACATCCTCGTGATTAGCTTCTTATTCCTCCTCCTCTGCTTGTATGGTAGCATAAAGGTTGTCTTGAGCAAACTATGCACAAGCTTTCTCAATGACGTATATATGCTTCTTTATGCTCTGGAGGGTCTCCTCTGTTTCACGGGGAAAGAAGAAGTCAGTTTGGGCAATGGCCTGGATATGAGGATCCAGCTGGGAGCATGATCTTTTGACGTCCTGAGCACACTGCTCCATGAATTTACTCTTTGGCTTTGGTCGTGGAGTATAACATGGCTCTGCATCATGGCCTGTGAGGGCCGCCATGGCTAACTCCAACTCAGATGGCCCCTCTGGTTGTGGGAGGAATTCTTCTCAATAAGGAGATTGTTCTTGAGGTGCCCAAGGGTCTGGTTGTTTTCCGTAGTAGGAGGTTGGTACTGAAACCCAAATCAATAGTCTTCTCCTCCTTGATTTCTCCAGGAAGTCTCCAGGCAATACCACTCAGGTGGTAGTGGATACCCCCAATGGTTAGAGAAGCCATGAGGATCCATGTTTTAGACCTGCACCAACAAAAATGCTAAACTAACAAACTTCTGCCTTTCCTAATAATCTAGAAAGTTCGTTGGCAACGGCGCCAAAAACTTGACTCTCTAAAACACAACTCCTAACAGTGGCCAATTGTAACCAATGAAAGGGACTACATTATAGTGGCACAAGTAACAAATAATAAATTGACGGGTCTTTAGAGTTACTATTACTCAGCTTTAGTTCATTATCTAGCAAACTAGATTTAGATAGAAGAACTATAACTACTCTAGCAACCAACATTTAAAATTAAATATAATTACAGGTTTTGAACTCACTTAGGCATGATTCCCCCTAGCTCCTCAATCAGGTCCAAGTTGTAATTCCTTTTGGTTGCTTTACTATTGATTAAACTGCGAAAGATTCGAAAATAGCTTGGAATCTCTTAAGTTGACCAATCCTCTTAGACAAAATACCTGGCAGGCGAGTAGCCTTCACCTTGATAAACTGCTTAGATGATTCAGACAGATCTCCTCTACTTGGCATTAATTCCAGTACAAAGTAGTGAATCGATTGACTCTCGCACAATCTGTTCACTACTATCAATCAAGGAAGCTCTCTTAACCTAATCAGATTCTATCTATCATAGTTTAAAGCATAAATCAAAATAATATGATCAGGATCCAATTGACTCAACATATCATGCCTTAATTGATTAAAACCAACCAGTATAGCATCCAAAGGTTCAAACAACAAAGATCCTAACACAGGGAACTAGGGTTCCTCAAAACCTAAGTGAAGGGAAGTTACTACATAGAGAAGAGAGATAATGCAAAAATCTAATCTAGATCTTCAATCTCCATCTCGAAGCTTGATTTCCGAGTTCCAATGGTGAAGAAATCCTCCAAAGTAGTGAATCAAGAGATATGATCCTGCAAAATAATAAAGTCAAAGGTGGAACCAAGAGAAAACACCGTTAGAATCACAAGCAAGGATAGCTTGTTCCCCCCACATCTAAGCATCACCTACGCAAGAACATGAGTTCACATAGTTGCTTTACTGTACGAACACGGGAAATCCGATAAAGGTCAAGCATGAATCATGGCACCATCAGAGCAAACATGCAATCATACACTAATTATTTCTAAGAGGTCACAAGCAAACACATCCCTCGCCCTAAACTAGTTCAAGCATGCCAATCAATTCACGGTTCTCAAACCTAACATCTATAGTCCGTTTTTCGAGAACTAGCAAAGAAAGCACAAGTCACAAACCTAGAAACACAAGAAGGACCATAGAGGAGGGCGAGAGGAGGACGATGGATACATAATCGAGCTGAAAAACGCTTCGGGTTCTCGCCGACGCCGGCGGAGGTGACGGCCGGCGACGAGAAAAGTCGCCCAAATTGGGCGAAATTCCCAAAGGCGAATCGCCCCGGGCCATAGATCCCGAATCCATGATCGGATTTTGATTTGGGGGAGCGAGGCAATCGGGACCTACAATTTAGCGGCGGGGGGGGGGGGGGGGGGGGGGGGTTCTGGCGAAGAAAGGAAAGGGCGAGAGAAGGGTGTCCTGTAAAATGTATGAAAAAGTGTGATGTACTTTCACATACATTGCGAAACACTCTCCCTATCATCCCTCTGTCATGACCTTGCCTTTCGAGTCTTAAAGATTGTGCACCACTGACTTGTACCATAACTTTATGCTTTTCTTTGTAAAATAGAAAGGGACAAAGATTTTGAGAATTTTTCTGGAGCTTGGCTTTATAGAGAAAAATGGATACTTTTCGTAAGTGCATAAAGTTGTGGCCAACTCTTATCCTTTTATTTTCTTCTTTCATCTATATTCTTTTGAAGGAAATGGCCAATATTTTAATTTTTGCAAATGAAGAAGTAGTTTCTCCCTAACTCAATTGTTTTAAGCAGAAAGTCAATTGTTATTAAGCAGAAAATATCTCTAAAGTATTGGAGTTTGAAGAGCAAATGGTTAATTTTAAAATAGGTTGTCATTAAACAAATAGGCTTGTCTCAACTGGGTTTGACTAGAGGATATGGTGTTTTGGGTAGTCGTTTGGTTTTAGGGGTAAATCTATTGCCTCCTTCACCCTTATCGATGGTGTCACGACTCACATATGTATAAATTAAGCATATCATCATACACATAGATAAATCTATCACACAAGAAAGAAACGATCATGCTCAAGTCTCACAGGGTTTCCTGTATGCTCAGTTTCTCATGCTATGTTTCCCAAATGCTATGCAACAACAAGCAAATATGACGACTGGCTTTTTCTAGATTTTAATAGGTTCTTGCTATTAAAGGAGAGTAATATGAGCGACATTCATATTAATTCCTCAGTCATCATTACAGCAAACATGCATTAAATTTTGGCATTCATGAGACTCAAAACAAAACACACTTATTTTAATATATTTTAAAAAAAATCTTGTTTTTTTGACACTACTAACACGTCGTGCTAGTTGGACGTCAGTTTAGTGTGCTAGGGGCTCGCAATTGGATCTGAGACCAGCTCGTAGTGATCTCTAGGATTATTGTGAGTGAGCTCACTTTTCTTTAGTTTTGGCCTCCATTCCTTCTTCATCTTTGCTTTTGGCGATATAAGTCGCCTGGTTGGTGACGGAGGGGGTGTTTTCCTTAAACAGCAACATAGACGACTCCACAAACTTCCCACACATGTAGTGAGAATAGCATTGACATTTGCGAGAGTGGGAGTATGGACGGAGGATGGTAGCGGGTGAGGAACTTGTCCGCTAGGTTGGCGAACGTGGTGATCGTGCCTGGAGTTCGAGTGCCCAGCCACTCCTTGGCTAGCCCCTCCGAAGTAAATGGGAAATACCTCAGCTGGATGGCATCTGCTGGGACCCCATTGATCTTGATCCCATCGATGAGCTTGTGGAATCGCCACAGGTGTGATCGGGGGCACTCCCCTCCTTGCCACGGAATACCATCGAGCCGCGCAGCATGGTGATGAAAGAGGTGCTCACCTCAAAGTTATTTGCTGGAACTTGAGGGTGCTAGATAGTTCACTAGTACCCCATGGTCTGCTCCTCAGGAATGACCACATCATTGTTTTGTGGTTCGCCCATTTCTTCCTCCTTGGTGATTTGCAGCTGTTCTAGAGCCTCCTCCGCAGCCAGTCGCGCCTTTAAAGCCCGCTTGAAGTTCCTACAAGTCCGTTCAAGCTCTTGTTCTAATGGTAGTAAATCTCCCGAATGGCTACGGGTCATGCACTTCCTGCACGCAATCATCAAAAGCAACCCGTCAAGGCACACAGGTGGAAGAGAGAAAATACAGTAAAGAAAATGCTAAAGTAATAAACTTTCACGTTTCCACAATAACCTAGAAGTCCTCGGCAACGACGCCAAGAACTTGACACGCTAAAACACAACACCAAACTGCGACCAAGTGTAATCGCAGTCGGGAAATGCAGACTTGTGGCAAGTTCTATTTGTCAACCTGGGGTCTAGATCTACTGCCTACTCCGTGATTATCTATTATCCAGCAAACGAAGTTGAGTTATTGTAATTTTAATCAAAAGCAGTTAGAAAGCAGGAAATGGTTCAAAGTTCTTTAGCATGGGAAGAGTCACTCGGGAATGAGTCCCCCTAGCTCCTTAGTTAGGTCAAGGTTGTAATTACCCTGGGTTGATTAACTGTTGATTAAACTGCAGAATATCTGACAGTAGCTTGGAATCTCTTAAGCTGACCAACCCCTCTCAGGCAGACTACCGGCAGGCGACTAGCCTTCACCAGGATAGACTGCTGAGGCAATAAGCACAGAACTCCACTACTAGAATTGGATTCCAGTACAAAGCAGTAAATTGATTAACTCTCATCAACCAATCTACCACTACCGATTGATGAAGCTCTAACAACCTAATCAGATTCTATCTATCTCAGGTTGCAGCAGAAATCAAGAAAAGATATCAGGCTTCAATTGACTCAATGAATCATGCATCAATGATTAAAATCAGTGTATCAATCCCAAGTCATTACAATCAAGATTCCTAACACATGAAACTAGGGTTCTTCATACCCAAGCGAGACAAGTTTCTACTCCATAGAGAGAGAGAGTGGAAAATAGAAATCAGAGCAGTCATACTCATAAAGATGGCGATAATTTGCTCTGTGATGTCGATCTTCAGTCCTAGGGATGCAATCTAGGCTTCAATGGTGAGAAATCCACTCCAAACAGCTACTAGGGTTTGTTCTTCGTACTTTGTCTCTCTAAAGCTCTGTTTTTGCTCCAAAAATTCGACTCCCTCTCCTTTGGCTCGAATCTGCCTCAAAAACCCGATTCTTGGCAAAATACGGGCTGATTTACGGTCGTAAACAAGGTATGCCCGTATTTCACCCAAAATGCGCGTTTCACTTAACAATGAGGAAGGAATTACTGTCGTCATTTTCAGTTTACTACCAGTATTCATGTAATTATGACCGTAAATCAATCCGCTCTTGCCCGTATTTTGCTCTTTGACAGACTGACACGCTAATACACAACACCAAACTGCGACCAAGTGCAATCGCAGTCCGGAAATGCAGTAAGTGGCAAGCTCTATTTGTCAACCCGGGGTCTAGATCTACTGCCTACTCAATATCTATTATCTAGCAAACTAAGTCGAGTGATTTTGATTTTAACTAAAAGCATCAAGAAAGCAGGAAATGGTTGAAACTTCTTTAGCTAGGGAAGAGTCACTCGGGAATGAGTCCCCCTAGATCCTTAGTTAGGTCGAGGTTGTAATTACCATGGGTTGATTAACTGTTGATTAAACTGTGGAAGATCCGACAGTAGCTTGGAATCTCTTAAGTTGACCAACCCCTCTCAGGCAGGCTAACCGGCAGGCAACTAACCTTCACTGGAATAGACTGCTGAGGCAATAAGCACAAAACTCCACTACTAGAATTGGGTTCCAGTACAAAGCAGTAAATCGATTAACTCTTGTATTACCAATCTACCACTCCCGATTGATGAAGATCTAACAACCTAATCAGATTCTATCTATCTCAGGTTGCAGCAGAAATCAAGAAAAGATGATTAGACTTCAATTGACTCAATGAATCATGCATCAATCGATTATAACCAATCAGTATATCAATCCCAAGTCATTACAATCAAGATTCCTAACACATGGAACTAGGGTTCTTCATACCCAAGTGAGAGAGGGTTCTACTCCTGCGAGAGAGGAAAACAGAAATTAGAGTAGTCATACTCATAAAGATGAGAATAATCTGCTCTGGGATGTCGATCTTCACTCCTGGGGATGCAATCTGGGCTTCAATGATGAGAAATCCACTCCAAATAGCTCATAGGGTTGTTCTTCGCACTTTCTCTCTCTACAGCTCTGTTTTCTACTCAAAAACCCGATTCTCCCAAAATATGAGCTCATTGCCAAATAAAACCCGCACAGGTGCAAAACACGGCCTCTAAGCCCAAAAACACGGCTGTATTTTAATCACAAGAGGCCGGGTTTTTGAATGGCGATTCTGTGGAGGGTAGATGAAAAGCACGGCCTCTAGCACAAGGCCGTGTTTTTCACACCTGAGGCTGTGTTTGAGGGCGTGTTTTTCAACAACTCTACTGCCCGTTCTCGCCATCGAATTGCTTTCACCTCCAAATGTCCTGAAACTTGTCCCAATGCCATATCTACGTACTAGGATCTGAAATATGACAAAAGAACACAACCTAGCGTAAAATAGGCCAAGGAATGGCCAAGAAATGAGAGGGAAAACATGTGCGAATACGGTGTTATCAAATTTCCCCACACTTAACCGTTTGCTTGTTCCCAAGCAAACCAAGTCAGATACAAGGTAAGATCAAAACATCTTAATCATGCAACCCTTGGGGACATATCATATTAGCACAAAACACATGAATCATATTGGCTTTTGATCATTAACACATTGACAACTTCAACAACAACCTGGACAACCACAACAGAAGACATTCGAGTGTAGCAAAATCGGGTAAAGGAAGAGTCTCCCTTCTGTTCACCAACCAACATAGACTCGACTCAACCACTTAGCCAAGACAGTCATCACATGCATCAAACTCAAGACATCAGAATCAAGACCGAGCCATCTAGGTTCTCACTAGGGTAAAGAGTATAAAGAACAAGGAAATCGCTCACTCTCGACCAGTGGGGTCAGGACAATTTGATGCGAAAAATGTGCCTGCTTATTCTCTCATTCCCTGATGTCTCTTCACCATGACGGCAGCCTCTAAATGTTAGAGTTCACATATTGGGTGTCATCACTAACTAATCCGGAGGTCTTAGACACAGGTTCAAGTGACTGGCTAGGGTCTTTGACATGGGGAAAAAGCCTTTTAGGTGGTGGAAGTATTCATAGGACAAGGTTCCACAGTTCCAAACCCAACACATTCACAGCCAATCAAACCACTTACTTTCTTTCTGCCATTCTGCATTACTCAAATTCTTTAGAGCATAAGAGCGAAGGAGGTCTCTATAATGTTAGTATTTCTAAGCCAGACTGCTAAGAAACATTACTTAATGAGCATGATTCACATTTTTGGTAGTGGCTCTCTTTAGCTTTCATTAATTTTTTCTTCTTTTTTCTTTCTTGAGAGAACCACCACCTCTGCGCATTTTTCTAACAAATGCTCAACTTTTAAGAACTGCCTCCAACCCTCACATTATTTTTAGCAGAAACAATAGAAAACATGCAAAAACCACTCTGTGGAACCTTCTAAGAGATGCAAAAGGGTGATTTTCCATTGTAGACTGAAAGAAAGAGAATTACACGGCTCAAAGGGGGCTGACTAGGGGGTATGACACACCAGGACAACTAATTTGGTCGTGGTCTATTCCTATGCCTCCATCATCTTAGCTAATGACAACGTGAATGATACACATTATGGAAGATGGATCTATCGCAAGAAAGAAACGAGCAGGCTCAAATCTCACATGACTACCTATATGCTCTATTTAGGGTTGTCCATTTGGTTTTGGTTTTTTGGTTTTAACCGAAACCAAACCAATTGGGAAGCTAATGGTTTCAGTTTTTTGGTTTTAAACCAATAAGCAAACTTAATGGTTTTGGTCTGGTTAAAACCGAAAAACCAATAAAAACTATTAAGAAACCAATAAGAATAAAATTATTTATCAACATTTTTTTTGTTTCTTTTGACATGCATGCCAACCAATAATTTATAATGGTCATTTACCATTATTATGACGTTAATTCAATATAAAGGAGGGAAATGAAAATAAATATGATTGTATGAGTACATGTTGGTTTTTTGGTTATCCAAACCAAAACCATTAAAGCGCTTATTAGTTTTTGGCAACCAAAAACCAATAAGGGCCTTAATGGTTTTGGTTTTGATTTTTGGGATTTAGTTTTTGATTTTTGGTTTTGCATACTTAATGACCGCCCTAGCTCTATCTCTCATTCTGATTCCCTGAACTAGATGCATAAACGACTATCAAGAACAAGTGATCAATCCAAGTCACAGTTGGTAAGCAAACAGTTGAAAAACTGAACCCCTACACAACTCTACTGCACGTCTAAGTCATCATTATAGGTTGTCCTAGTCGCAATCCCGTTGTCATGCATTAATTCAAAAGTCATTCAATTCACCAATTAAACCCACAGTGCCAATACGATCAAGAAAACAACAGTACTTAGAGCCCTCAAATCTCTAGATTTGGACATCCTAGCACACATATATAAGTTCCAATGAATACAAAGTAACCACCCCCCCCCCCCCCACACACACACACACACTTAAATGTGACAATGTCCTCAATGGAGCAGAGGGAAGGGGAACAATGTTACCAGTAATTGAAGATCAGGAACGGGGAATGGAAAGCAGATCAGTCAAGAGCAGGGGACTGGAAGGGGGCCAGTCCAAGGCATAGAGATAAAGTTCAAAACACACACACTGGGTGAAAGAAACAACAAACCATAGTTCCACGTGCACAATCCAAAAGAGTAACAAAAATAAAATAAACGAAGTCACTGGTGGAAAATGAAAAGACATAACAAAGCAGCAGCCCGCGCCAAGATCATTCAGAGCCCGGGTAGTCACCCTCGGTAGGCTGGTAGGTGCCATCCTCCTGTGATCTGGTATCAGACGGCCCGCCACTGGAGGTGGAGGCCCCGAAAGAGTGGTCGAAAGGCACATAGGGGATGCCGAGACGCTGGAGGACGAGCTCCTGAGTGGACTCAATACGGTCAAGGCGGGCATCGAGATGGCCAAAGAACATGGCTGGCGAACGGGGCTCACGAGCCCGAGCAGCACGGGGCGGTGCAGGTGGCGGCTCGCCCTGATGACATCTGGCAGTGGGGCGTCATAGCGGCCATCCTCGTTGAAGTACGCAAAGGGGGAATCCTGGCGTGTCATAGCCTGCCAATGGGAAAGAGAGAGCGTGATGGTGTGAGCCATAGGCGTGCACCCCATGGCCACCGGATCAAGGTCGAGTCACCAAGAAAGACGAGTGACAAATGCTCCACCATGAACCGCGCTGATGTTCGACTGGGTGCTAATGTTGTGTTCTCTCAGCACAAGGGAGTGGCCCGCATGAATGGGACGAAGCAGGCAAGACTGGTGAGGATGGCGAGGTGGCAGTTGCTAATGGCACCGGGGCTGCCACGCTAAGGGAGAAGCCCGTGACTCAATACATTATGCAGTAGCCGAAAATCATGGTGAAGGATGCTTGCCTTGGCAGTGCGCTGGTCAGAAGGCATGCCCACCACAACACGGGTGAGAGTATCGAACCAGCACTGATATAAATTGGCATGTGGAGCAAGTGAGCGCTCTGTCTTGAGTTAAGAGTAGAGGGGGCCCTGAACAAAGTCCTCAGAGTACAAACCCATGGTGATGCTGAACTAGGTAAGAGACATTGTGTGAAGCTGGCCACCAAGCCGAAAGGTAATCCCATTGGGCAAGGAGAATTGCTTCAAAGCGGCCTTGGTGAGGGTGAAAGAGGCTAAGAACTCCAAAGTGAGCTCCCTGTAGATGATCTCATTGAGGTCAAACACGACCCGCCATGCACCATTACCGAGCATGTCATGAATGGAGTTGGAAACACGAACAGCGTGCACGGTGTCCCAATCCAAACAGCGAGACTCGTCGAAAGGTAGCGAAGAGAGCCGAGTGACTCGCTCTCGAGCCTCCAGGTCGAGCAACATGATGTTCAACCAATCAAGCTGAATAGGAGACTCGACTGGTTCGTCAGGCTGGTGCCTGCCTCGTCCATGACCTCCATGATTTCCTTGTTGGCCCTGACCGCTCTGTCTATTGCGATTCATCCTGCAGAGATGACACACAAGGCAACAAACCAAGAAACAATCCACAAAAACAACGAATCCATGAGTACGATGATCATGCTAGAGAGTGCATAGCCACCAACGGGCACCCAAAAGCTAATTCCAAGCAAGCACAAGCACATTCAAGGTGGAAAAGCTCATTGGGGCCATCTAGCAAACACATGGCGGCCATAACTCAACATGAAGAGCAAAACTCCTTAATTCACCCACCATACGTAAGCCCGTGCAACATTCATGATCACAAGATAGGACAAAGCAAGGGGGCTGCATTGGATTTGAATTGTGACCCCAAATTCGACCAATAATAAAAAAAACCCCAATAACTCTAGAATGTGAATTTCCAAGAGAAAGAACAAATTGAAGCTCAAACTCACCTGAAAATACAAGAGGAAGACTAAGGAAAGGGGATTGGGGTGGTGGGGGGACTTGGATACGCTGGGAAAGTGGCCGCCGACGCTGAGGAGCAACCGACGGCGATGGGAATTAGGGATGGCGCGACAGCTGGGGAGGCGCCTAGCGGCGGTGGTGGAGGGCGGGGGAGGTTCGCCGACTGGGGCGCGACGGCCGCGGTGGCGGTTGGAGGCCGGCGGCGGCCAGGAGGCGTCATTGGCGGCGGTTGGGCGAGCAGGGGAGGGCGGGTTTGAGGGGGAGCAGCAACGAAAATACACGATGGAGGGGAGGTTGTGTTTTTGAAATTGCAAAACACGGCCTCCCACTTAAAAATAACACGGGCGCGTTTGCTAAATCCTCGCCTGTTCCCACTGCGCGAAAACCACAAGAAACCCGGCCTCTGTGTGAAAAAACACGACCTTGTGCTTGTGGCCAGGTTTTGAAACAAACAACAAGGCCTCACGATTTTTTTTTGTTTTTTGGTTTTTTTGGCCTCCACACATGGACAACTCAATCGAAAATAACAATGAGAAGAAAAGAAAAAGAATACAAACTGTGGTGGGGTTGCCTCCCCGCAAGCGCTTCTTTACCGTCTTTTAGCTGGACGCTAGTAGAGGAACTATGGGTCCTCGAGCTTGATCAATAGCTCTGCGCGCTCGACATCACCTCCCAAGTACAACTTTAAGAGGTGGCCGTCACCTTGAACGACTCAGTTTGAGCATTACTGATCTCCAACGCACCGTGCGGGAAACCTTGGGTTACCGTGAAGGGTCTCGAACAACTCAAACGTAGCTTGCCCGGAAAGAGTTTCAGGCGTGCATTGAAGAGCAAAACACGATCACCTACCTGAAACTCCTTCGGGCCCCTCAACCGAGCGTCGTGGAGACACTTGGTTTGCTCCTTGTAGAGCAGGGTGTTCTCGTAGGCGTGGTAACGCCATTCCTCCAACTCTAGCAGTTGAAGCATTCATTCAGTACCTGCAACACTCAAATCCAGATTTAGCAGCTTAAAGGCCTAGAAGGCCTTGTGCTCTAGCTCTACTGGCAAGTGACACGCCTTCCCATAGACAAGCCTATAGGGTGAAGTACCAATCGGGTTTTTGTAGGCTGTCCCATATCGCCAAAGAGCGTCATCGAGTTTGGTGGACCAATCCTTGCGGGACTGATCCACTATCTTTTCGATTATTCTTTTAAGCTCCCGGTTCATCAGCTCGGCTTGACCATTCGACTGGGGATGGTAAGCCACCGACACCTGATGCTTAACACCATAGCGAGAGTGGAACTTAGAGAATTGTCCTTGAAAATGGGTTTCTCTATCACTAATGATGGCGCAAGGTGTCCCGAACCGGGAGAACAACTGCTTCAGAAATGAGCAGACCCGTCTTGCATCATTGAAGACTGAGGAAAAATAGAAGCCCAACTGTAGCACCTTCCACGTCGTGCGGTTTCCTCCATGGTGAGCTCTAGTAGGTCCCTCGTGGCATTGAGATAGGATGTCTCCCATCTCGTGCTCCATGACGCAGCGTCGAATCATGCTATCTGCTCCGATCCTGAAGAGGTAAGGATCCTCCCAAAAGTAATGCTTCAGGTCGGAGAAGAACTTGCTCTTTGCATGAGTGGTCATCCCCTTTGGTAGCTGCTTGCCCACTAGATAATTGGCAAAGTCAGAATACCAAGGGGCTACGCTGTTCACCAATGTCATCGCCAATAATCGCTCACCCGGTAAGGAGTCATCGATCTCTTCCATGAAGTTGTCCACCGGAGGGGCTTCCAACCGTGATAGATGATCTGCAGCAACATTCTCGGCTCCCTTCTTATCCCAGATCTCTATATCAAATTCATGCAGAAGCAGGATCCAGCAGATAAGCCTAGGCTTTGCATCAGCCTTGCTCATGAGATAGCGAATCGCCGAGTGATCTGTGTAGACCACCACATGGGAGAGCACCAGATATGGCTGGAACTTATCAAATGCATACCCCACAACGAGTAGCTCCTTTTCAGTGGTGGTGTAATTCTCCTGTGCATCATAGTCCGGAAATGCAGTAAGTGGCAAGCTCTATTTGTCAACCCGGAGTCTAGATCTACTGCCTACTCTGTGAATATCTATTATCTAGCAAACTAAGTCGAGTGATTGTGATTTTAAATAAAAGCAGTAAGAAAGCAGGAAATGGTTCAAAGTTCTTTAGCAAGGGAAGAGTCACTCGGGAATGAGTCCCCCTAGCTCCTTAGTTAGGTCGAGGTTGTAATTATCCTGGGTTGATTAACTGTTGATTAAACTGCGGAAGATCCGACAGTAGCTTGGAATCTCTTAAGCTGATCAAGCCCTCTCAGGCAGGCTAACCGACAGGCGACTAACCTTCGCCGAAATAGACTACTAAGGCAATAAGCACAGAACTGCACTACTGGAATTGGGTTCCAGTACAAAGCAGTAAATCGATTAACTCTCGTATAACAAATCTACCACTCCCGATTGATGAAGCTCTAACAACCTAATCAGATTCTATCTATCTCAGGTTGCAGCAGAAATCAAGAAAAGATGATTAGACTTCAATTGACTCAGTGAATCATGCATCAATCGATTATAACCAATCAGTATATCAATCCCAAGTCATTACAATCAAGATTCCTAACACATGGAACTAGGGTTCTTCATACCCAATTGAGAGAGGGTTCTACTCCATAGAGAGAGAGAGAGAGAGAGAGAAACAGAAATCAGAGTAGTCATACTCATAAAGATGAGGATAATCTACTCTAGGATGTCGATCTTCACTCCTGGGGATGCAATTGAATGTCATTTGTGGTGGATAATCTACTCATAAGTTCGTTCGAGACTTGCATTGATTTGTGAATAGGGTGAGGACTTTCCATTTGCCCATTCCTGATGCAATTGAATGTCATTTGTGGTGGATGTCGGTATTGTTTGAGGCAGTTCATGTGCGGATGCCCAATAGTCATTGAGATTCATCACTTCGTGCCCTTTGATTTGCCCCAAGTTATCTTGTTAGGTTGAGATATCACCTAGTTTGAAAATGGTTTGCTTGGGGACAAGAAAACTTCTAAGTGTGGCGGAGTGATTCACGCTCATTTGTACACTTTTTACCCCCGGTTTGCTTAGTCGTTTGAAGGATTTTACTATGGGAGGTTTGGTTTTATGCTGCGTTTTACCTTTTTTTTTTTCAGACTTTGGCAGGTGGAACCTACCTCGGAGTCGAAAGTTGGACGAAAGGACGAAAAATAAAGTCAAACGGTTGAAACAACAGCATATCACAGTTTGGGCTATGAGTTCATGGTCACCAAGACCGTGAATTGGAGGCGCTACCCGTGAACAGCCAGGCATTTAGAGCACAAATTGCTTTCACTAGACACAAGTCAGTTAACGGTCGTAAGACCGTGAACTGGCATTAGTGATGCGGCGCGTTTCGACTTGAGATCACGGTATGGGCTTGCAGTTCACGACTGTGAACTAAGACCATGATCTGAGCCCGATCTAGGTATATAAAGGAGGTTGAGCTGTAGGAAAAGGGGGGAGACCTAGTGTGAGAAACTTCTTCTTCGGATTTCTAGAGTGAGAAAGTGACAAACCAAAGAAGAGGAGAAGCTAGGGTTTCATCTTCAAGCAAGGAATTTGGAATTCCTCCCCCAAAGGAGGATCTCTTCAAGACAAAGAGCAAGGCTAGCATCTCTTTGATGGTTTTCCTTGTTCTCTCTTGTGTTTTCCCTTATCCTAGCATGGAGTAGTCCCTTCTTTCACTTGGGTGTTTGTAAACCCTAGCTACAATTATGTGAATGCTTGTATAGATTGAATGATTTGTGTGTGGTTGTGTTTAATTTGAATGTGGAGGTATTATTCATGAATGATTGTGTTGTGTGAAAGCCTATCAATCTAATTGCCATTCTAACCTAGGTAGAGAGAAAATCCCACTTCCTTTCTTTGAAAGAGGCTTTAACGCTAGGTTTTCTTAGACAATTCATTGTCTCCTATCTAGGTTAACGAGCAAACCTCTTATATCGTATTAGCACCTAAGGTTTGGTTGTGGGTTCCCATCCGAACTCCGATTCGAGGGTGAAGTCTAAATAATCCTTACTCAATAGGTCGAGAGAATCATGTTGGTGGCTTGGATCATATCCCCTTCCCTCGACCTAGAGACCAAGACAGTGGCGCTTGGCTACTAGTTACACTTCCCTACGATTTACAACCCCTCACCACACACGACCATTCGATCCTACAAGTCGTAAGTGTTAGCTAGGGGGAGCAATACCCGGGTAAAGCCTTCTCAATTAGTGTCAAATCCATTTACCTATGCAAACACTTTAGCTTTAGATTGTTGTTTTCACCAAAATTGACCGCTAGATAATGTTTCAAGCAATCGAAGTAGTGGTTCATGAATCGGCCCGGGTCGATATTTAAACATACTTGCCTTGTACTACACCCAGTTAAGGTTTATACTTGGGCCTTAATTGGGAGTTTTATTGTGATATTTGGGACGAGTCACCGTGTTATCAGGAGGGAAGTGAAAGGTCGAAGCTATTCTTTGGGCCTTGTTTAGGTCACAAATTTTTGTTTTGTTGTAACTTCTAGTTTTTTTTCTTCTT